AATTTTATTGGGTGGCCATCTTGCATACATGTATATATAATTATAAACATATCTGTTTGTGCAATCTCTATGTGTATAATATACATACGTCAGCTTATGATATATCATAATATTAATTACTGTAACTGTTGTCCAATCCCTAGAGTAGATCAAATGTAGAATTCCATGGTCCTCTTCGTATATAAGACATGTGTAACTTGGGATACTCCAAGTTACACGAAACGGCAAATTCTTACTCGCCCATGATTTCTATGATATCACAGCCATCATATTTGCTGATGATTTCCCTGCAAAATCACAAGCTGCTGTGACTAACACCACAGTTTGTTGCGGGCCAATCCCTGTTTCTGGTTGCCTCAATCCCCAATTCTATCTGGTTGGTGGTTGACCTTCCCCTCTGAAAAATCATGGAGTTAAAGTCAGTTGGGATGATGACATTCCCAACCTATGGAAAAATAGCAAATCTTCCAAACCACCAACCAGCTATTGGTGCCAGTTGAATCACGATTTTTGTAGGCCTTCCTGCGTTCGCAACGTTCCCTCGAGACGGGCAAGGAGTTGCTCCTGGAGGCGTGTCCGGTTTTATTGGGACATGGAACTCTGCCAAGTTGATAGTATCTATATATATATATTTATTTATTTATATAAATATAGTAACCATATATATATATATATATAAAAAAGTTGATCTTTTGTATCTGACCAAAAAATGGATCAAAATGGATCAAAATGGTCTTGAGTCTTGACACCTTTAAGTCACCAAAACTGGGGCAGCCAGCAACACATATCATCAGAATGGGGATTGGATGAGATTGGGGACCGAGAAGCGGAAGAGGAGCAGGAGGATCAAGATGCTAAGATTGCGTGCGTGTCGCTTGTCAACAAGAAATGCATTGAAATGCATGCATGATGACAACAATATAACAATGAAGACAATGGATCAAAGCTGCTGCGGTGACTAGTTGCGGTGGTGGTGGTGGTGATGACGAAGGTGATGATGATGACGAAGGTGATGCTGATGGCGAAGATGTTCCAAGGCGGATTGAGCCAGGGGGAGGAGAGTGGATAACTGTGAAGTCTCGCATGAATGGCTCCAGCACCCCAATACCGTGCAACAAGAGGGACTTCAGCCAGCAAAAGCTAGCTTTGGTGATAATACATAGCTAACACGACAGGTTGGAGTTCACTCAACACATTGTGCTTCAGCAACAAAAGGAGTCGATTCAACAAACCACAATAAGGATTCGGAGCGCCCAAAGTGAAACTGCAACTCAGTTGAAACGAAGAACGAAGCTGCAGTCAAGGTTACAGTAATTTGCAAAACAAAATGTCTTTTGTATGGTGCAAACGTATGCGTTATTTGATTTGGTCTGCTGAACGGTGTTCGGAAATTGGATGTTTAGATGATGCCATGGCCAGGGTTGTTGTGCCGTAAGGCCCAAAACATCCCAAACCATGTGTTTTTACGTCATTGCACCCCTAGGTCATGTTCAAAACAGAATCTTTGCCCAGATGAACACACCAACCTATCCAACCTTCATTTCGCCTGGCTGCCGCATGCCTAGAAATGGTAAGCCTCGCCTGGTTTGTTTCAGGGCTTTCACCTGTGACATGATGCATCACATCCTCGGCTCCTTTGCTCACCAAAGGGGAGGATGGTGTTCACCAGCGGCATGCCACCTTTGTCGCTGTCCGCACCTTCCCGGCCTGGCATTTGATGGGTTTTTATGGGCAGGACGGTTGATCTTGGAGATCAGATGATATATAACCATATAATTATAATATTATATATATATGCACACACACATAGTATATACTATTAAATGGTGGGTTTTGCCGGCAATAAACTCATGATTTGATTTCGGTAGTGGCAAACAATAGGGGGCATATCATTACGTGGAAATCCAAGCATGGGCCAGCGGAATCCAATGGAAAGTCAACCCTGGACTAAGCCCTAGACTGTTGATCATTCGGGTAGGCCGCAGACAACCGGTTCCGAAGTGGTTTTGCCGGTGAATTTGCAAGCATTTCTTACTTCTTGAATCTATGATCATACATGGCTCATAAAATCATCTTTCTCAGGACATTTGGAAGCTCACGCGAAACTAGCTGCTGCTGTCATGTAAATAAACTGCAAGACATATGGTAACACACACACACATCTCGTCAAGCAAACGCATGTGTACAAGTGCCCTTGAACGTTGCTGGCCCACCCCACCACCCCCACCCACCCCACATATTTCATGCGAATAATCAGCAAAAAAAGAGCACAAAGCCTGGAGAGTTTCTACGCGGATGCATAGTATGTCATAGTATTAGTAGCAGAAGATCATTGAATATCACTGTTTGCAGGGTTCCCAATTAGTATCAATTAGTCAACCAGATTTTTTCATTTGAGGTGGTCCACACAAATGTTGGCGCCCAGTTGGTTGACTTGATTAACTCAGCCTTGCGGAGTCGGGTTTTTTTTGGGGCATTCCCAATCCTATCAATCCTGCGGTCCCAAACTTCTCCCTCTTCCTCTCTCTTACATACGCATACCGCATCTATCAAAAATAAGTAATATCTGTTGTTGGTGGTTTTAACCATCTTGAATAATATTAGTCAATGGGAAGGATTATCCCATATATTATGGAAAATAAAACATGTTCCAAACCACCAACCAGATATATATTGGCGGCAAGTGAAACTTAGAACCATCCCCAGGTTTCCAAGCATTAATCATACACTTTGAATGACGTTTCTATCGAGGGTGGCGCAAAGTGTATGAAACCTGCAAAAGTACACATAATTTGATTTGCCCCATAAAATTGTAGATTTCACTGTTTTTAGGTGACATTTTATTAAAAAACGACTATCGATTCTATCGATAGCCAAAAACGATGACCCTTGCAGATTATTCTCCCTTTTTTGTTCATCCACAACCATATTATATATTATTGTTATTATTATATAATATATATATATGTACATATCCACATACATTCCGCGTAGACACAACGATATTGATCACAATTCTTCGCTTTTGTGGATTGCATAGCACTGCCAGCCAGCGGCATATTCAATGCTATTGCAACCAATGAATCAAATAGTAATAAAGATAAAAAAAATAACACAATAATACGCAATACATATTCGTACGTATATATATATATATATATAGAGAGAGAGTCTTAATTACTGGTATTGTGTTGTTACACTTGTTAATTATTATTGTCCTTCATGTTATATACCACAAGATATCACAAGATACCACAAGTCTATCTTAATTTTGTATATATCAATCTCATTAAAATCGTCAGCGAAAAAAGGCGCCTTCTTGCAAGGCTTCGGCGCTGCAATAGAAACGATTTCGACTGCTGCTGGAAGCAACATGTGCCTGGAAGGATCCCATGTGAAGAGCGGAGCACTCAGCTCAAGCATCGTAGATTGATGTAGATTGCCCAAATGGTGGATTAACCTCTGGTAATTTAACATAGCTATTGAAAATGGCCATTTATAGTTGATTTACCCATTAAACATGGTGATTTTCCATAGCTATGTTAGTTTACCAGAGGGTAACATAAATCAACCTTGGGGAAAAATTGTCTTCAACAAATCGACGAGAGTTTGATTGTGGGCCGCCCGCTTCCACGTCGGGAAGCCTCCAGGTTCAGGAAGAACTTTGACAAGTCCTTCTTCGAGGGCATCGACCTGATATTTTACCGCTTTTCCCCGTGAAAAAAAAAAAACATGGGAAACTCCCCAAAAAAATGTGAAACATGCCACTCCTCATGAGAATTTATTTATCTGTCCAAGATCGAAAAAAGAAGCAAAAGCAGTACAGTCGCCATCTGATTTTTCAGAAACACTGAGGTTCCAGCGACGATAAGGGGAAAACCCCCAGCCTTGGTCAACGAATTATCGGTGAAGTCAAGGTCCCCACGGTCGACATGGGATACATACATGTACTATAAATATATAAACATATATATATATATTTGATTTATACATATGTGTGTGTGAGTGTGTATATGTACATATCTGTATGTACATATATATATATATATAAATAATATGTACATATGTATACACATGTATTTATATATATATATACATATATATACATATGTGTGTGTGAGTGCGTGTGTATATGTACATAAATGTGTATACTTACAAAAAATGTATATATATATATTCTATATATATATTGATAGCTGATCTGTCGTACTGCTACAGCCACATGGCCTGGGAAATCCGCGAACATCTGCAGCTCTGCACATGGGAACATGGCACCATGATTTGGGGGATCTTCCCGCTAGCCATGTTTGATTACCAAAGGGTAACCATAATTTGCTTCATTTGCTTTTATGGCATATGCTAGTTACATATGCCATTACCTTGATCTATCGCCAACTGAACAGTCATCTGGTTACACCAAAAGCACATCTTGTATCATCTTACCACGAATTTTACATTCCATTCAGACTCAACTGGAATTCGGAACCATTGGAATTTTGAGTTTCCCAGCTGGTATTCTTCCAAATCCTTGAGATCTGCCCGTTCGCGGGGGATGAAGCTCACTTCAGCATGACCTCGTTGCGTAAAGCGCGCTTGCATGCGCTTGCCATCGCTGTGAATGAACCCTTCGCGGCGCCAAATGCCGAGAGTGGCCGAGAGGCCATAGTTACTGAAGTTGGAAAGAAATACTGATTTACATGATATGACATTGATTTTCATGATATATCTTATACACATTTTTTCACACGCCCAGAAAAGATGCTATGACATGTTTTCGAAAAAAACATCCACCGCAACTTGATGTTCCAACGGATTCACCAACTATTGAAACCACCCCACCAAGCATTCGCAGAAGGTAAATCGGTGACCCCGAGTTTCTCACAGCTTCTGGGGCCCCATGGGGCCCCACATGTTGTCTCATTTTGTGGGCAGAAAAGCAATGACCATCAACAATGTGGGGGTGAGGATCTTATATTTACCCAGCAATTTACCCCGATATTTGATGATTCAATCCGTGCTAGCTGGCTACCGACACATTCTTGCTGGTAAAACCATGTTGACTCCCCATTCATATAAGCTTCTTGTTGGGTAAACCCACCGTTTGTTGGTGGGTGAAAATCTCATTATTCTTGATGAAAACCATTTTTTGTGATTGTTTATCATGTTTATCCCAGTTTTCTATTGGTTTACATTGGTTTATCATGACTTCCCATGATTTTTTTTGGTTTCATAGGGTATTTCCACATAATTGGAACCATTTAGGGGGTGTTGATTTTTTTCGGGGGATGGGATTGTCATGTTGGAATTATGACATTCCCAACTGTTTCTGGGAAGTCACAAAATTCCATGGTTCCAGTCACCACCAACCAGATATTATATATATATGGCCATAGAAATAGTTGATTTACCTATTAAAAATGGTGATTTTCCATAGTTCAATAGTTGGGATAAACATACAATGTGGCCCCCCCAGTTATAAGTTGGTTTATAAGCCCCAGTAACTATAGTTACGAGTGCCATAAACCATAATTATCGGAGTTATAAACCAACTTAGCTATCTTGGTGGCCTCACATTGTATGTTTGTTGGTTTCAACGCTGAGCAAACCATGGTGGTTTTGCACGTTTCGACCATCGTTTCACCTTCTCGCTGAGCAAAGCGTGTCGAGGCAATCATCGCGGACAACGAAGACCTTGCCAGGTCCGTCGGCACCAACTTGGCGTAAATCGATCTCTAATAATGGGGGTAAATATAGAATATGGGATTTAATGGGAATTAATGGGAGTGAATTTAATGTGGGTAAAACAATGCCATAAGGATCCCCCAGTCATCACCATTTTTATGTGGTATGTTTACCATTCCCAAATGGGTGGTTTATGGCATTGGTTTGCCCACATTACTTCGAGTTACTCAACAAATCCCCAATTTGTCGATCTTAATTTTATCTTAAATGATTCTTACATAATTTGACATCCAAGTAGTTGGACACCGACCGCTGCACGGCCGTGGCACGAAGTGGCTTTTTTTGCGTTTGGAACGTATTTGAAGGGTTGGGGTGGGGTGGGGCATGTTAACGTTCCTTGTCATTTGCACACATGTTGGATGCTACGTTACTGAAGGGTTGGGGTGGGGTGGGGCATGTTAACGTTCCTTGTTATTTGCACACATGTTGGATGCTACGTTACTGAAGGGTTGGGGTGGGGTGGGGCATGTTAACGTTCCTTGTAAGTGCACACATGTTGGATGCTACGTTACTGAAGGGTTGGGGTGGGGTGGGGCATGTTAACGTTCCTTGTCATTTGCACACATGTTGGATGCTACGTTACTGAAGGGTTGGGGTGGGGTGGGGCATGTTAACGTTCCTTGTCATTTGCACACATGTTGGATGCTACGTTACTGAAGGGTTGGGGTGGGGTGGGGCATGTTAACGTTCCTTGTATTTGCACACATGTTGGATGCTACGTTACTGAAGGGTTGGGGTGGGGTGGGGCATGTTAACGTTCCTTGTCATTTGCACACATGTTGGATGCTACGTTACTGAAGATGATGATGATGATGATGATGATGATGATGATGATGACGATGATGATGATGATGATGATGCTGTGATGATGTTGTGATGATGATGATGATGATGGTGATGACGATGATGATGATGATGACGACGATGTGATGATGATGATGATGGTGATGATGGTGATGATGGTGATGATGGTGATGATGGTGATGATGAAGATGATGATGATGATGATGATGATGAAGATGATGATGATGATGACGACGATGATGATGATGACGATGTGATAATGATGATGATGATGATGGTGATGATGGTGGTGATGATGATGATGGCGATGATGGTGATGATGAAGATGAAGATGAAGATGAAGATGAAGATGATGATGATGATGATGATGATGATGATGATGATGATGTGATGATGTTCATTATGATGATGGCAGTGCAAACAAAACAAGTAGTTTTCTGAAACGACGATGATGCATTTTCACATGGCGGATGTGCAAAATCATTGTTTCGCTATAGCGGCGTGATTATTTTCTATTCACATCATGAACATTTTTACCACGGCCGCGAAATGGTCGTAAACCAAGTAGTTTCAAACACTATTGACCTATATTGACCTCAACATTTGGGCACACAGTTCGCAGCTCTCCCCAGATTCCCCAGGCTGCCCCACGAAGACGTCCCAAGGAAATGGTCCGCCAAGGTGCAAATCAAGGCATCGATCGCCACATGCCCCGCACTGGGCCCTGGCTACGCGCCACGCCAGCGTAGCTGAGGGGCTTCCACTGTTGGAAGATTTTTCTTGGCTTCCAAAATAGAATGTTCATGATTGGTTATGGTTGTTTCCCAACAAAAAAGTGATGGATCCATAGTTCATTGTTTCTTTTTCGAAATCGGAGATCAACCTCAAACTGAAACTGATATATCTAAATGTATTTGCAATAGTTTCATGGCAGTTGATGTACTGTTTGATGTCAGCCGGGACAAGGGCCTCATTGGACGCGTCAGAAAAAACCTTCTCGGAATGTTACAGGTTGGAAGGTGTTGTCAGTTGAAGGTCGCCGTGAGATCTCTGGAAACATGTAGATGATGACGAATGATAATGAACGATCATACGTGATTGTACAATATGTGTCAACTATAAATATAATATATAATGATATGATGGTAAATGATGATGAATGATCATACACAACGATATATAGTCATAATGATTAGAATTACTATAATTGTTATAATGATTTTTATATAAATGATGACAAATCGCCAAGTATGCATTAGTCAGCGGAACCCCCGTCCTCCGGGGAGTGGTTTGGTGTCCTCGTGGGCGGCCGGATCACCGATCATTGCTTGGTGAAAGCAACCAATGACGCCCTCTTGTTGCAGCTTGGAAAATCATGGAAAATCACTTCTTTTGGGTAACAACACCACGCGTTGCTGGTTAGCCCCGCGTTGATTGGTACAATCACGGAGAAGTCATCATCTGAGTAGGTAAAATCACTGAGCTAAATGGCAGGAAAAAACTCAAAGTTGACCGGTAAAATCACAAGACAAATTGGGAAACAAAAGCAACACATGAAAGAATAAGACCTCCCCAAAAACAAATGATCATGTGGTTGGGAACTCCATTCGTAGCCCTTTGCCTCACCATTTGGGGAATATGGAGGATGCATCCATCGCTCCTCCGAAGTCACCACTTCCGCGCCCAAGTCGGTCAGGAGCTGCAAGACCCGCAGGGTGTTGTTCTCCTACCAGGGTTCACCAGGGGAACATTGCCAGGTGAACCATGGGTGTAAAATGGGTTCCCATCATCCAATTCTAGGATAGTGGGTATTTCAACAAATGTGACGGAAATAACATTCTACTGCATATAATATAATGTTGTGATATAATGTCATATTAAGTCTCTCTCTCTATATATATATTGTATTTAAAGTGAAGTATATTATATCATATTATACTGTATTGTATACATATATATATGTGTGTATTGATACGCTGTGGCAATCCAGCCAGAGACCTCATTTTTCGGAGGTTTAGAGCAACATCACAGCAACATCTGATGAATGTGTTTCAATCAACATGGCCAGTCGTTGGAACTTGGGATGTGTTGTTCACTTGGCTGCAATGATGGGCTCGCCCTCTAGAAGTCCTGGTTTGGTGATGCATTTCACTTCCCAAAAAAAAATTGGGACTGCACATCTCAATCTTTGTACACTTGATACATCTTTATACATGCCCCTTAAAATGGTTGGTTTGCCTTGGAGACATTCACGTCTTTTGGCTTTCAGCTTTTGGATGAAGATCCGCCCCGTTTTGACGTTTTTATCCAAGTTTGCAAACGGTTTTTCCATTGGTTTTTCACCTTTTCCATTGGTTTTCCATTAGTTTGCTATTCCCGCATTTGTTCATGGTGTGTCCCATCTTTTCCATGTTTGTTTCCTCGTTTCTACCCGAATCTTAGCAAGGGCCACCGTGCGTGAGTTCCTGCATGCTCTCGGACGCTAGGAAGGTGTCGGGCACCACACCCCACCTGGCGGTGAACTTGGTTAACTATTGTTTTTTGGAAGAGATAGCTATATATATATATTCATATTGAATGGTGCTTATGAACCAACTCATAATTGGGGAGTCTCCCCTAATTATTGTATATATATATGCACATATATAAATATAATATGCTCTACCTATATTCAGCAAAGAAAAAAATTATGGAATACATATCTCATATAATAGATGACGCGTATATAATTCATATCACCATTACCCAAATGTCGTATTTGGTAAAATAATTTCTCCAGGTGGCAAATGCAAAATACAATATCTATATGCAATTATGTATGTATATATATATGTATAAATATATATATATGACGATGTAGCGGACACACACACACATATATATATATATGAGGTTCATGAAGTTGGATATACCTGGAAATGGGATGATGTTTAGTATGACCTCCAGTCATGGTTGGTTAATGGGATGGTTTATCATTTGGTTTACCGCATTAGCGTACAACACATCAGGTATATATATATATATGTATGCTATATATACATATGCATGTACACATATAGTAGATATAAAAGAAAAGTAGAATATGTTTTTGCAGTAAACAATGGATACTTTTCTATCACTTCTATATCACGAGAATATTGGTAAATTACCTTTCTATCTTATGGGGGGCTACTTCAATGTAGACCTAACTATACATATATAATTGTATATATGCATATACATTTCAAAATAAAACACAGCCATTTACCAGTGCTTTTGGCAACATATCACAATTTTGCTGCAAATGTAAAGACAGGAATGTTGTTCATCTGTGTTACAAGGGGGGGTTTAATGATTTGATGTGTGTAAATCAAATCCTAGGATGACGTGGAATGGAGGGGGCGCCTATACCAGGCCGAATGTCAGCAAAAATTGCACATAGACCTAGTGTGTTTTTTTCTCGAAGTCCTGGTTGGCTTAATTGCATCTCTCTGATTAGATAGCAAAATTTATTGGTTGTCACGGGAATAACAGCTCCGATGAACAGTCATCCAAGGTTTATGAGTTGGGGGTTGGCATCAAAAAAAACATATTCTGACCTAGCCAATAGACTTCCTGAACACATTTATCTATATATATACACACTTCATCTATCTCTACCTCTCTCTCTATATATATATACACACATGCGCATATGTTTGTGCATACCTTATGTATATACACATACATTATGTCTAGGTTTTTCAGGTATCAAAATGTGGTTCATCCTATTGAGACCCCGGCCTCCTCCTGAGACGGCGGAAGACGTGTTGCACTTCCTGCAGGAAGATCTGTTGGATGCTGGTCTCGTTGAGGCCTCGCGGAAGTGGCTGCCCAATTCAAAGTTTTGCAGCCAGTTTTGCAGCATCCCCCCTGAATTTGAACAAAAAATAAAGGTATCAAAAGAATCCATCCAAGATTGACTCAAAGGGGCATGTGACCTGAACTCAGCAGTGTACAAAAATATGTTCTGATATGATTTTTTTTTCACGTGAACTAATTGTAGGGTCACTCCCCGTGACCACCTTCTGCTCGAAAGAGATAAGGTCGCCTAAGCGGCAGGACACCACAGGGCTCACGTGGCTGGCCGCCTTTTTTTTGTGGCCTGAAAGACAAAAAAAAGACTTGCGTCAAGTCGAGGACGGCGCCCTATTTACATCTATTTACATCCTTTTACCACATGCGAATACGCATGAAAGCATCCTTTGCCATCTGTATATATCTATTCTGTGGGCCCTCAGCATCAAATGGTCAAGTGAAACCTGGATCAAGCGAACGCGAACTTCACCGTTGGAAATTACCAGGGTCACGAACCACTTCCCGTGCTCTTGGTTACATGCATAGCCTCCAGTAAACTAAGATAGATATGGAAAACCCACGATTTCCCTATCTTAATGTGATATGTTCATGGGCTTTGCAGGTCCCAGGATCACTTAGGCCGACAATCTTAGATGTGGATTCACACCTTTAGGGTTTATCTTTGGGTGGGGACCGGGGACTGGGGACAGAGGGAACCACTAGAGGTACAGCATACTAGGATCCATTGGATACACACCTTCTGTTGCACATATCATCATCTATCTGTGACGTAGGCCTAAGCGAGTCAAAACGTATGCCCAGCCGCGAGGTACTGACCGGTTTTGCGTGTCTGCGTTAAGGGCAATCCGTCGCTGTGCCCTCAACAGCACCCCCACCCATCTAAGGCCACAAACAAATGGATCGCCAAAAAGGGTCTGCGAAGGGACTTTGCCCTCTCGCCTCTGGAGCGGTGACATTTTGGTGACAACCCCAGAGCCCCTCCGGTTAAAAAAACCATGGAAGAGCATATTTTTTCATTGGTTAATCTCTAATATATATATATATATATATGCATGTATGTAATAATTATTATTACAACAGTAATAACGATAATAAAAAATAATAACGATAATATGTGTATATATTAATATAGAGCAATCATACCACCCATTGAAATTACCCCTGCCCCTCAGTGGTTCCCACTTTGTAGTTCAAAACGAAGCCGCTGGGGCATTCCTACGGGAGGAGTTTCACCAGAACTGATCTGCAAAATGAAGACCCTTGCCCTCTGGCATGAATAAAAAGACATCTGTCTACCATCAAAGACTAAAATGTACCATCTGGTTATTTAACATAGCCATGGAAGCCATGGCCCATTTTTTAGATGGTTTACCCAGCTATAAAATGGTGGATCTTTCCATGGCTATGTTAAATAACCAGATGGGTATTTTGTATTGTTTTGTGATCCATGAGGCTTCTCCTTTTGAACACCATCAACCCTTTGGATCCAACATAGTTGACCGATACCTAAAGGCTCGAAAAAAAAAAAGTTCCCGAAAAATGATCTCCTACAATACCTTGGAAAGGTCCTCATTTTGTAGAGGCCTAAATATGGACCGCACTTGACTTTTCCATACTTTTCCTCAACTGCGACCATCGGGATGTTTAAAGTCAGAGACTATGGCCCTTTTTGGGAACAATTGTTCCACCAAATCACCGTATGAAATGGAGGCCTATGACCATATACTGATACTGCAACCGAAAATGACCCAGATAGTGTGTTTAAAATTACAGCCTATGCCCCTTCTAGAACAACTTGAGCACCCAAAACATTTTAAAAAAAAATGTTTTATGTTGGCGCATTGCCCCATATAGTCAATGTTTAGGATGTTAAAATCACGACCCATGGGGTGTGTTTAAAATGAAGGTCTCCGGCCTGGTGCTGGACATCCTCATTTTGTATAGGATATTCAATGGGTATCCCATATGTATATAATATATTATATACATTATTACAAACCATCCATTTTATGGGCCATGGTTCGCAAAGTGTTTAAAGTTTAGCTTACTGGAGAGGCATATTTCAATTCCACTATAGTTGGCTGGTTGGTTCATGTTTGTTATATCCCGTGATATCCCCACATCCCATTGACTTGGAGTCGCTCCTTGAGAACCCCAACAAAAATAAGAAATATAGATACCCCATAGAGATTCACCACTGATAAAGCTTTCTTAAGAAAACCTTGAGAACCAACTGATTCCCCATTTAAGCATATGTCCATATATTTCCCATGGAAAACATTGAAACATCACTGGTAAACAAAGCCACGTTAAGCACCGATGTCACCTCCTTGTGCTTCTATCCTGGCAGCAGCACGCCACACCTGGGCCCCGCCCCGCCGTTGTGGAAAAAAACGCAAGGGTCCCATGGTTGGAATGGCTTTCCAATGGGAAGAACATCAGAAATACATGGTAATGTTGGGATTTGTTTGGCATTAGAACATCAGAACATGTTCCAATATTGTCAGAAATGATTGGAACCACATTCCAGTAACATTGGAATGATTGTATTGAAATGATTAACGTGGGGAGACAATATCTGATCATTTTTTAGGAGGGAACAACATGTCCACTCAAACGTTATTGTATTCGCTATTGGAATGATAACATATCTGAGTAGAGAATATTAGATAACAGTCTGACTCTGAGCCAACAGACTTCCAGCACGCTTCAACATCTATACTATACTCCCCATTTTTTTGCCAGACACACATATATATATATAATTGATTAATTAATTAACTAATTTTAATTATATATATATATATATGCCCCACCATATCATAAGTCGTAGTTGTCACAAAATCATTGCTACGGAATGCGAAAGAAAGCACAAGAAAGCCACGGTGCGCCATGCTACTATCCGTTGCTACAACTCACCCATGGGCTTCATCGCCACCCATCCAAAAACACCTCAGGAACGAAGCGAAAGTGTCGGAAGAAGTGCAAGTGATCCTGGCGAGAATGCCGAACAGTTGGCGAACTGGAATCTACCCTTTTGCAATTTGGCATAGCTATGGGAAATCACCATTGTATACTAAATTAGTTATAAGTAGGTAATTCATCAATAAGTAGGCAATTTTCCTAAGCTACGTTAGTTTACTGGAGGGTAAATCATCAAAGTAAATGGGCATCTACATATATATACATACATACATACATACATAACATAACATAACATAACATAACATTACATAACATTACATACATACATACATACATTACATACATTACATACATACATACATACATACATACATACATTACATTACATTACATACATACATACATTACATTACATTACATTACATTACATTACATTACATTACATTACATACATTACATACATTACATACATAACATACATAACATACATACATACATACATACATACATACATACTTACATACTTACATTACATTACATTACATTACATACATACACACATTACATACATTACATACATTACATACATTACATACATTACATACATTACATACATTACATACATTACATACATTACATACATTACATACATTACATACATTACATACATTACATACATACATACATACCTACCTACCTACCTACATACATACATACATACACACACATACATACATACATACATACATACATACATACACACACACATACATACATACATACATTACATTACATTACATTACATTACATTACATTACATTACATTACATACATTCATACATACATACATACATACATAAACACATATATATAAATATACATACATATTTACATATATATATACATATATATATATATGTATATATATATACATATATTGGGGAGTCCTTGGCCTCTTTGTCTGTGGAGGCCAGAAACTATTTCTTAAATAAACCCAATTTACAGAAACTATTTCCTAAATCAACCCTAAGCTGGGAAACTAATTGAACCTATTTCTTAAATAAACCCAATTTACAGAAACTATTTCTTAAATCAACCCAATTTGCAGAAACTATTTCCTAAATAAATGGAAGTTTTGGAAACTTTTGGAAATTACCTCAAAAAATGCATTAATAAAAAAACTAAAAAAGTAATTCAAGTTACGCCTTCTAGGGATTGGTTTGAAACGGTTTGAAACGGTTTCGTACTATTACCTAGCAAGTAGCGGGAAACGGTTTGAAACGGTTTCGGACTATTTGCTAATTAGCCATTCTCAGAAACTATTTGAAGCTATTTGAAGCTATTTGAAACTATTTGCAGTTTTTGCCAGGGTGAATTAGCAAATAGTAGGAAACGGTTTCGGACGGTTTCGGACTATTACCTAACAAGTAGCGGGAAACGGTTTGAAACGGTTTCTGTGATACCCTTACTCTGCCTTAAATCATCAAACAAGACAATATACCAATAAAGATAAATAAAACCTAAGTTGACAAATATAGACACATATAGACACATTATATATATATATATGACATATTGAAACTCCTTACAGATTGAAAAGTAAGAAAGAAACAGTGACTGATTCTGAGATGAGGAGTCAAAGAACATAGAACGAAACAGAATGAAGGGTGCCTGCGTGGCAGCCTCTCTCTCTCTCGGTGAGAACATGGCTCACTTGTCTGGGGCAATCTCTGGACTTTAAGTGATTGACTTCTATCCTTGTCCAATGGTTGGGATTGGTAAAAGCAATCCTGGTTTTGTAAATGGTTTCTGGGTTTGGGGCCCAGATTAAGAAATAGTTTCTAGGATTTAAGAAATATTTAAGAAATAGTTTCCAGGATTTAAGAAATAGTTTCCAGGATTTAAGAAATAGCTTCTGGGATTTAAGAAATAGTTTCTGGGATTTAAGAAATAGTTTCCAGGATTTAAGAAATAGTTTCCAGGATTTAAGAAATAGTTTCCTTTCATATTTACCTCTTAGGAAGGTTAAGCTGGTAGGCTCCCGACGAAACCGGACCCCCCGGGCTCCCGCGACAGATCTTGACAAATAGAGAAAAGTTCAGGCACACACCAGTCCGGACTTTTGGGGGAAACCCCTGACTTGGGTATCCTCTGAGGTGTCTAAAATGCCATGTGGCAAAGGCCTGCTAACACCATCCCCCAACTCACCCGCAAAGGCTATCAGCCACATGGTTTTGTTTGGGGAGCAATTTTTTTTCATCCCACAACTTGTGGGTATCGCGTGTGGAATTATTCGCGGCGGTGTATGGTGCATTTGGCGAAAACTGCGCTGGGACAGGGTATGTGTTTATGTTGCTGTTTGACAAACCCTTTCCTGGATTGAAACAGCATTGCAACTGGTATGGCGCGATAGTACTCCCAACTGGAGTCTAGATGGTTTCAAGTTTCAAGCGTCAACAGTTTCAGTGTGGTGAGCCATGGGTGAAGGAGGCTCTAGTACTATTAAACGGGCATGTGCGGTAAAGACATTAGCTCTTTCTCACCACAAACTACCATTGGCAAATGCGTGTTCCAAGATTGACCAGGTTTGCCCTGACAACATGGTCAATATCAACTTTTACTTGCAAATATTACCCCTTTGATTCAAGTATTGGTTTCTGGGAAATCAACATGATTTAGCAAATGGTTTCTACATGTTCTACTTTACGGGAAAAAGAGTTTCTACATATCCTACTTATTTAGCAGATGGTGTCTAGTATTTAGCAAATGGTTTCTAGTTTTTTGCACATGGTTTCCAGAATTTGGCAAATAGTTTCTAGTATTTAGCAAATAGTTTCTAGTATTTAGCAAATGGTCTCTAGAATTTAGCAAATGGTTTCCACCTGTGCAAGAAATAGTTTCTGGATTTTACAGAAATGGCAAATAAAGAAGCCAACGCACTCCACAATTATATATGTATATATATATATACATACACATTTCTTTTTCATAGCAAAGTGTTAAATTACAGCCAGGTACCTGCTCACGCTGCTGTCCAGCGTGAATTTCCAGCCTTCTGTTTTGAGCCCATCGACATCTGATAAGTGATTGACTATATTTTATTATCACTATTGACCACTAATTGCTAGTCATGATTATATAACTATCAACATCTATTAGCATCTATTAGCTATTATCATTATGAAGCACAAGCCATTATTCACTATGAATCACTATTATCACTAGTTACCATTATTCACTATTAACTATTCTTATTCACCATTATTAGCCATATCTTTTTACCCACTATGAATCACTGGCCCACCATTCAGTGCTAGTGAGGCCGCCGCTCCTCCCAGTGCTTTCCCAGGTGCAGGGAGTTCACCAAAGCCATGAAGACCAAGCACCTGGTCCCCGGGGTCCACGGGAAATGCTGGACGCTGGACCACTGGACATTGAGATAGATTCTCACTTGAAGGACATTGAGATTGGTCAGAAACTGGCTCGAAAACATCTCAATTTCTCATCCGCAAAGGACCCTTAAAAGGGTCTGGGAAGCAGCATGGAATGTAACCTTGAAACAGTTTCTGAAATCCGCAGTTTCCACGGAGACATGGGAGTTTCCGTTCCGTTGCTGAGTTTCTGCAGAAGCCCAGAAAAAAAGATGGTGCCCTGAGTGACTCTTGAACAAGCCCTAGTCTGGCCTAGTAAAACTCAGTTGTAGTCTATTATATATATATATATTGGGCCATAGGGCCATACATTGGATGACTGCAACAGGGTGTCATTGGCACATGTACCCATATGTTCATTGTGAAATCCCAGATCTTGATGCTTCAAATCTCAAATTTGATGCTCAAATCACCATTTCTGATCACATGCTCATGTCAGGACTCATGATTGCTCATGCTTTAAAATCAACTACCCTCCGGTAATCAACCGTGGCAATGGACAATTCCCCATTTAGTTCGATGATTTCCCCAGCCAGCCACGTTTGATGGCAGCGGAGGGCAAATAAAGGTTGATGCAGTAAGCTGTGAACAAAATTGAACGTATTACTCGGGTACTATGTGTATGTGAATATATCTATATATATATATATATGTATGTATGTATGTATGTATGTATGTATGTATGTATGTATGTATGTATGTATGTATGTATGTGATATATCTATCGCTACTGGGGATTGAATATCTATAACTACTGGGGATTGAACTATGCAACACCTATAGATTGTATATTGGGGAGTCACGTATAGTATCTACACATATATATATATATATAGATAGATCAATGGCCATTTCAGGATCCTAAAATGGAGGTACCTACCATATATAAGGCCTATGTAAGGCCTATGTAAGTGAATATACACCCAAAATATGGCCTTACATAGTACAGTACCTCCATTTTAGGATCCTGGAATTCCCATTGAATAGATATGTGATTATCTGCTTGTTTATATCTATAATAGCCTAGATATATGTTCAATAGTCAACCTACCATTTGGTGATGCTTTCTACCACCGTCATTTTGGGCGTTGTTTATTTTTGGCTTTACCATGGGTTACCATGGTTTACCATGGTTTACCACATTACTGGGGTATTGCATACGATTTATCATGATACCCTCTGGTAATTTAGCTATTTAAAATGGCACCTTTAGTTTGTTGATTTACCTATTGAAGATGGTGATTTTCCAGTTCGCTTCTTGTATATTTTCCAGGGGGTTAACCATCACTTGGAATAGAACTACACAAATACATACCACCCTACTATGGAAACTTCAATATTTTTCATAGGTAAATAAGTCTAAATCATCTATCAATGGGTGATATCTCTGTACAAAATTGAAGCGCCTGGTCTTGGCGCGCTTCAGGGCGGCCTTTTCCAGGCAGCTGTGCTGACGCCAAGCCTGGAGAATGGCCACGGGCCTCGTGCGGCTTGATGACAGATTTGCACCGAAGAAAAATGGTGGTTTCATGGGATGAAAATGGGATGAACAGGTGATGACATTGCTGGTGCCAAAAAAAACTTTGCTAAGTTGGTTTAGAAGTTGGTGAAGTGTTTGGCCTATGGTGACAACTATGAATGCTGAAGTTTATAAACCAACATCGGGGGGCACCACATGGGGATTCATGGCCATCCGACCCCCCAAAAAGGAGACCATTAAACTATACTGTGGATGGTTGCGAAATCTTGCAGTTGGCAGATGGTAAACTTGTAAACATCCCATGATCCCATGCAATTTACAGTGCTTCACAGATACCAACAGTTACTATTTGCTGCAGGATTTCTTAAAAACGATATTCAACCGTCACCATCCCGGCGCCGGCCAGCGCGTGTTGGACCTTGCAAGGTCCGGTGCCAAGAAGGGCTCATCCACACAGGGCCTCAGCGTCGCACCTGGAAAAAAATGGTGTGAAAACTTGGTCCTTAAAAAAAACACCATAGAATAATTCATCTGATTGGACATCTATCTATGTTATTCTATGTTTGCCCTGAAGACAGAAAAGAACATACATGTTTCTTTTGATCGCCAAGGATTTTGTAGAGAAAGTGTCCTTTGATGCCTTTCCCTTCCAAGGAGGTGCATTGATAAACCATACCCTTTCTGCTGGGAAGATAACCCAATGATAAAACCTCCCCAATTTTAGCGGAGCTTGTATCAAGCCTCCAAAATTGAAGGTTTATGACATTGGGTTTGTCACATTTACACTTAAATTCGATGCTCAAAGCATCCAATCCAATCATTGAGGGAACAAAACATGAATACGGACCATTGTAACAATAATCGCGGGACAACAACAAGACTAAATTTGAAAAAACGACGTTGATCTACAACTCGAGCCTTCCCAGCCGGGTCCACTGACTGGCCATCATCCTTTGCCAGCAATTGCAGCGTCCTCGACAATGAGCCGGGAACAGCAAGTGCAGTAAACAGGACCCGCCCCTATCAATCCATTGACTTACCCAGAGCTGCAGCTTGACGTCTTTTCCATCACAGGTGCTGTCACCAACCCGAAGGTCTATCTATCCATCTATCTGCTCTTATCTATCTATCTATCTATCGATCGATCTATCGATCTATCTATCGATAAAATCGATCTATCGATCTATCTATCTCTCTATCTCTCTATCTGTCTGTCTGTCTGTCTGATCTCTATATATCTCTATATATCTCTATCTATCTATCTATCTATTGATCTATCTATCGATCTATCTATCGATCTATCGATCTATCTATCCCTCTATCTCTCTATCTGTCTGTCTGTCTGTCTGTCTGTCTATCTATCTATCTATCTATCTATCTATCGATCTCTCTCTCTCTCTCGCTCTCTCTCTATCTGTCTTTATCTCTATCTCTCTCTAAGAATCTATATCTATATCTCTATCTATCTCTAAGAATCTATATCTATATATAATACTATATCTATAATACTACATCTATATATCTATCTATATCTTTACATCTATCTAAATCTATATATCTATTTATATCTATCTATACCTATATATATATTTATATCTATCTTTGTCACTCTATATCTATCAATATCTACCTATATCTATCTATTCCCACCTATCTATTCCCATCTACCTATCCATTCATCCATCCATCCATCTACTCAATTATCTACATACAAACGTATAATCTATATATATATATATATATATATACACCATATATATCTATCTATCTATCTACCTACCTACCTATCTATCTATCTATCTATCTATCCATCTATCTATCTATCTATCTATCTGCATACAGCATACATGTCTAAAAGAATACAAATAGATATATACATATGTCAGCCCAAGAAAACCTCTCCCAACTTTCCCCGGCACCTCTCCCAACTCTGTACCCAAACGCTCTTGGGATACCTGGGATCCGCAATGTGTAAATGGGAACCACAAACATGGGATTTATATGGATGTATCATGTGGGTATGAAACACTAGCAAGCAATATATGACCGGTCAGACCGATCATGTCATTTGTATATATATATAAATACGTATTCATACGGTATTTCTATGCTTGGTTTTAAACATATGCAATAGAAACCGCCATTTCGTTGCACGGTCCAGTCAGGGGTCATGGGCCAAGGATTCCATAGCAAAGTGTCACTTAAAATACCGGATATGATTGATTAATGATTGATACTTATTGTCACTTTTTCTATCCATTCGCCATGAAGTATAGGACTCCATTGGTGCTTACATGCTGGAGGATTCAGTCCTGGATTCAAATGGAGTCTTGGCAGGATCATCCCAGTAACACTGAGCGCTGCACTTGATGCCCCACCACTGGCCTTCGTAGGCCACATCGCCACGGGCGCGGCGTTCGTAGCTCCTCCGGTGCTTCGCTGTGTGCAGGCGGAGTGTCCAGGAATAGTTCGATGAATTTCCCAGCTATAGCCATGGCCTTCAGGGTAGAGAAAGGTCGTGAATCCCTGGACTTTTTCGTGGCCATCAACTTGATGCTTTGAAACAGCAAGGATCAACAACATCAACCAAAGCAAGAGGGGCAGGTTGTAATGAAAACCCTGAATAGTCATGATTAAAATTATAGTTGTGCGTGATATGTTTGCCGTAAGATCTAGAAATCTAGTCAATCATCACAGGGAGTGAATGTAACCAATTCGCTGGACCAGGTGATAAAAATATAAACCTATAGAACAATATACGGAGATCCTTTAAGAACACCTGATCGTCGCTCGAGTTGGGTCTTTCAAACTGACACTTGACATCCCCTAGATCCACAAGCCTTCAGAATTGTTTGCGTGATGTGCATACATATTATATATATATATGTATACACACATGTGTTGTGACATGTATATGCACTTATATATATATATATGTATGTATGTACATTATTATACATGTATATATACACGTACATACAACTACATACATGTATGTGACTGTGTCATTTGGATACGCCTATGATATTTAATGTCCACCCTGCACTAATAAACCCCTAATTGGGTGGCTACCAATTAAGTATCATAGGATCGCTATTTGGAGGATAGCCCCATAATTGATAAACCATGGTTTGTTAATCCAAGGTTGGCATTAAACATGAATAAGTATTTCTCTTATCTGATCTTATATCACTTACAGTACATGGAGGTTTCCCAGACTGGGGGTACCCATGGTACCCCGAAATCATCCAAGTCATTGAACCATTTTAGTATTGAAACCTTCGGCTTTGGTGATCACCCATTCTAAAGAAACACCCATATGGATTTGACTGAAAATAGTGTACTCATGTGTGCCCTTAAATCCATTGGATTATCATGGGTTATCATAATTGTCCCCATTAAAAACAAAACAACAACAAACATTTGCGGGGTATACCTCATTTTCAGACACACCCATCATACTGCGGATGGAAGAAATCCTGCACCTGCACCAGTTGGTTTCTCCGATTATCCATGTTTATCCCATGATAATCTCAATAGTTACCAACTTGTGCAGAATTTCTCCCATCCACAGAATCACCTGTATTGGTTTTCTGGTGGTTTTAACCATCTTGAAAAATATGTTTGTTCGTCAGTTGGGAAGGATTATTCCCATATATATTATTGGGAAGGATTATCCCATATATTATCCCATATATTGTGGAAAAATAACCACCTCCAAGCAGTTTTTATATGTTGAGACCCTCTCCAGACGCCCTGGAACTCGTTGAAGGTGGGCGACTCGTAGAGCCCCAGGGTCAATGGCAATGCACCATATTCTCAGCATAGCTTCGGTGGCGGCCAGGGGGGTGATGTTTTTTCGAAGGCAGGAAAATCATAGGAATTCAATGTACTTCACCAAGCTGAAATAAGATAAATAAGGATCAATATATGGATAACAGTGGAAAACAATGGATAACATGAAATAAGCCCATATCCAGATTCCCCTTTTTGTGATTCCTATAGAAACTGTAGCCAAAAAAATCAAAAATCATGTCACGTGACCCCGACCCAGGGCGAAACTGGCCAAGTGTCGCAGCAGCTGGAAATGGTCTCGAAAGGGTCCGGATCTCGGTCCACTGACCTGGTTTCTCCAGGCTGGCCTATTGCCTGACCTTCCAGTTTTTGATACAAAAAACGACGGAAATCAATGGCTTTCCCTAGGAGATGATACAAAGACATGCGGATTTTCATGGATTTTTCATAGCTATGTTAGTTGATGTTAGAAAAAACTGGAGGGTATACGATGTGCTTGACACATTCTCGAATGCCTTCTTGCTGGGGGATCATGGGGCTTATCCCGTATCATCCCATAAAATCCATCCCCAAAAATCCCAAAATAATCCCAATAGTATCCAATAGTGTACCCTCTGGTGAACTAACATAGCAATGGAAAATGGCCATTTATAGTGGATTTTCCCATGAAAAATGGTGATTTTCCATTGCTATGTTAGTTCACCAGAGGGTATATAGTTTGGTTCCAATAAACCGTCTCGACTTCATCTGCCACAGGCTGGCATGCTATGAATGCTATGGCAACATAAACCATAACATTCCCATATATTTGTCATTGGTTTCTTCCGTTTTGTGTTGCTACGTTTCGAAAACTCTCCGCTGTTCATCACTTTCGCCCCAGATCTTTCGTACATCGCCATGGGCGGAAAAAAAGGACCACCAGCCAGGCCCACCAGGCTCGCCTCCAACGGCGTCATGGTGCGGTTGCCGTCTTCGCAAGTGCTTGGCCAGTGAAACTCCTAACGACTCACGTTTGTCAACCACGACCAGAAGAATCAACTGTGGATGGTTGCGAAATCCGATAAACCACCGAAAGGATGGTTGAAACCCTAGAAATGGATAGAAATGGGATAAACCACCTATCAACTGGTACAGAATTTCTTCCATCCGCCGTATACAATGGCCGAATTACACTTGCTGCAAGCAATGAACGTGCGACTCGCAGTGCGACCATCTGAAATCAGGGGTCATTCGATGAATTGCTGTGTCGCACGACCGGGTCATTTTTCATTTTCATTTCCAGCATGAAAGGGAGTCCCTTGCTGCTACTTGCAATTCTCAAATTATCAATTAACAAAAACAAACCAGCTCATCCGTTCAATCGCTGATAGTCGGGCAGCCAAACGGACGTTTCCCTGATTGGCTGGCAAGCCTCTTTGGCCTCAACTAACCAGCGATGAAGCGCTGTACATTCATCTGTGCAGGGCACCTGTCGAAGATGTCCCAAAACCATGCATGAGTCGAGCTGGTCTGTAATCGCCTGCGCTAAGGCGGCGCAAAATCGGGGCGGATACTCCTTGTGCTTGCTGGTGCAAAAGCCGCCAGCAGCATCTCGCCCAATTGCTACAGCAGTCGGGCGCCTGGCATCTGGGTCGGCATGCTTGAAGATTGAGGCAAGAAACCTTGGTAGCCTGAGCGCCAGAAGTCCTGTTGGTTTCGGCACCGAAGAACCGAAAGGCCATTGCGGAATCGTGTGCAGCTGTACCTCAGGGTGGTTCTGCATCAATTGAAGCCACGGTGAAGTCCAGATCGATGGTCGAGAGGCGTCTTTGGGAGTCGCGGGATGCTCGCTGATGAAGCTGCCGCCCTGAACAGTCTGATACGCAAGCAGAAGGAGCCCTTGCATAAAAAACTGTGTTCCCACATTCAGCTGAGCCAGTTCACGGAGCGAAAGTCCCATGAGCCCCAACAATCGCTCAAAAGAGCGTAGGGGCCGTGGCGCCTTGCGAGGGCCCTCATCTCCTGGTGGTAGTTCTTGAAACCTCGCCTCACTAAAGGTCTCACAGGGGGTACCGGCCAGAGTGGCCGATACCCATCCACGTTCATAACAATCCACCAGCTTCGTCCAAGATGCCGCTTGAACCGCCAAATTGCCATACGTCACCGATACAGCCGTATCCATGGAAAGGATCGTGACAGTGATATTCCTGCGTTTGGCCCACTCGTCAATGCAGCAGTGAACATCTCCTCAACGTCTGCGGCCTGAGAAGATATGCACCAGTAGGAAATGGGGGCGGCCTTGCAGCATCTGATAAATTGGCGTGTGCCGGTCAACCGGCAGGGTAGCCCACTTGACCAGACGAAGGCCTCGTAGCCACTCCTCCTGTGTCTCGAAAGCCGAAGGGACAACCTGTATGGTGCGCTGACGCTCACCAGGATTGGCAGTGCCCAGTCGTCTTGGTCGATGCGGTTGCGCGGGGGTCACGGCCTCCTGCTCAAGCTGCTGGATCTGTTGGCGTTTGAAGGCAATGCGGTCTAATCCCTCAATGCGAGGCAAGACCTTATAGAGCTCATAATATGCCTCCTCAATTGCGAACTCCACCTCACCATCCAACGTCTGTGCAAGAAGCTCAGGAAGGATGTGTTGCCCCCATGAAAGAAACACCAGTTCTGTCCATGCTTCAAACTGTGCGTCAAAGGTGAAGAGAAGACGCATCCACCAATCACCTAAATCAGCCGTAGGCACTTCAGCTCTGCTTCTACCACGGTATTTGTCAATCCAGATCCTAGTGCAAGTGGTCAATCTGTCCGCCAAATCTTGGCCGGCTTGCAAATGGTTGTCTGGCCTGGCTGGAATGGCAAGCTCTGCCTCAAGCTCTTCTATTTCCAAACGCAATATCTGGATCTGCTCCTCACGCCAAGGGCGCAATGATTGTTGAGGTCCCGCGGCCTGCAAAGCATCAAAGCGGATGGTGCCTTTCAAAGCAGGCGTGAGCCGTTGAACCTGATAATCACCTTGATGTCCTGCATCACGCAAGGCTTGAAAGCATCGATTCACTCCACCTCCTCGAGGCATATAGGAGAGGTGCTGCTGAAGCCTTGCACTCGTCCAAAAGAAGCGGAGGCAGTGAGCACAGGTGGCTCCGCTTGTCATGTGATGTTCAGGTGCATAAATCTTGTGCGCTTTCACTCTGTGCAACGCAAGCCCCTGTGGCGTAGCAAATTGTCGCCCACATGCACAGCTATGGATTTCACCTCTTGATGGTGGGGAGAGAATGTCGACTTCAGGGTTGAACTCAGCCCCTCCTCCCCGCAAGATCTCAAAGAAGCGGCTATGAAGCTGCTGCAAATCCGTCATCATGTATTCCTGGGCTTTGGCAGTCATCAAAGCAAACCGCAAGGTTCTCTTCCAAGGCGATTTGGGATGTTGCCAAAAATCAATAAGGGCAGTGAGATCTTGCCCTTGGGGAGAGGGAAAGCGGTTGGGCGCTAACTTTTCAAGCCACCGAATGTCCTCTTGCAGTCCATGCATCCACGAATCCATGGTGTGTGTGTGCTCAAGATGGACAAGTCGCTGCAGAAAATCAGGCCCGTCACGAAAAAGTTTCCGGGCATAACGTAATCTGTCAATGGCCAGTAGATGTCGAATGTCCATGGTGTCAGCAAGCTGGAAAATTCTGCTGTTGGAATGATGCTCCTGGTGGCCCACACGCAAAACACGCTTCAAAAGACTGACATAAGTGGAGCGCAGCAAGTGAAGCAACTTGAGCGGTGGAGTCCTCCAGGTTCCTAAACCATAGAACATTCTTGTTTCCACAAAAACCCTGAAGAGTCGCAGTCGCACATGGACTGGCAAATGGCGGTTGGTGAGAATTGGCCTCCCCAACATGGTCATTGCACTCTTCGCCTGCCCAATACGCTGTCGAATTTCAACCTCTAAGGTCTGGGAGGCCGCATAGGTAAATCCCAAATGCTTGTATGTATTCTTGAAATGGAGCCAAACAGGCTTGTTGGAACCAACTTCACAATCCATCCCTGGCCGATCAATCAACAGAAATTCCCGACGCAAAGCGGGTGCATCAGGGCCCTGAAAACTGACAACCACATTTGTTTTGTTGAGATCATAATTGACCGTAAATCCATGCTTGGCAAACTGTTCATCCACAAAGCGAACAAGAGCACGCACAAGCGGCAGAAGTCCAACTGCCGATGCTGAGGCTAGAGGAATGGCAACATCATCTGCCCAAACAACAGTAAGAGTAGGTAGGCCCCATTGCTGGAGGAGCTCTTGAAACTCATCAATTTGAAAGAGCCAGTTTCGAACTGAGGTCATGATATGTGCCATAACAACATGAAACACTGCATCGGCCAATGGCGATCCAGGGCGCGTGCCTCTGGTTGTTCTGATGACTTCTTGTTGCGTGACAGTGAACCATGTGTCGGTATGCACATCCCTAAGGAGGCGCAATAAACGTTGGTCACACCCAAGCCGCTCTAGGATACTCACGAGTTCATGGCCTGCATGGCCTGCCTCGATGGGGTGTCCTGCATGCTGAAGAGTCGTGATGATGGTTTCAAAGTCTTTGTCACAGGCAACTCCAAGGACAAGCTCTCGAACCAGATGATGAAATGCGCTGGCCAGATCTAAATAGAAAACTGCAGTGCTGACACCATGCTGTTCAAGAATGTGAGTCCATGTCATAACGCTGTGAAATCCAAATTGGACCATCTGATTGGCGAAGCCACCCAGTTGACCCTCAGCTCTTTGAGGGCTGAGAACCTTCATGAGATTTCCACGCATAAGGCTGTGGGCTCGCTTGGCGATGGAGGCTAACAACAAAATACCTCGATAGTTCATGGCTTTGCTGAGGTCTCCTTTCTTGGGTATAAGTGTCATAACGCCTCCTTTGAACTGCAAAGGTTCAACACACCATAAGTGCATCTTAAGGAGAAGGGCATAATAAAACTTCGCAATAACTGGTGCTTGGTCATGATGAAGACAAGATGGCAAGGGATCAAGCCCAGTGGATCTCCCAGGCTGCGTGGCTCGAACAGAAGCTTCAAAGCATGTCAAAGAAGGCAACGCAATGGCAGGGATGGTCGCATCTTCTAAAAAACGCATGGCTTCAACCTGTCTGCAATGGCATTGACGCAGCAACTCTTCAGGGGAGATTTGCTGGCCAAGTTCAAGTTGGCTGAGATGCGGTGTGATCTGGTCCTCCAGGGCTTCAATACGCGCTGGGGAAAGATGCTGTCTGCGCTGCCTGAAGCGAGGTATGGATCGCCTCAGCACTTGCCAAAACTGCTTGACATCCCATGGGCTGAGCAAATCGGCTCCCTCTGCCGCAAGCGATTGGAAGAAACGTGCATCATCACATCGTAGAGCCGTCGTGACCTGCCTTCCCAGGGCTCTAAAGGCATCAAGGGCTTGTGCAATCAGTTTGTCTTGCAAAGCGAGAAGACGGTCGTACTCAGCACGGATGTCCTCATCAACACCTTGTTTCTGATGTCGCCACAATGTGAAGCACAACTCTAGCCTGGTTTTGCGCTGAAGCTTGTGTGTCTGAGCTAGTTGGCTTCTCTGATGTCGTTTCCTTTGGACTAGCACCCAGGTAGAGTCGGACATTGTCTTCTTGTTTGGCCTGCGGGCTCGTGGTTCTTGTTGGGAACCCAATGCATCAAGCAAGCAGGTTTGCAAGTGTGCAGCATGTGAGTGCACATTGGTCTCAAGCGGTACCTCAGGTGCAGCCGCAAGGGCGGCAAGATCAAGTGACTTTCCATCCTCAAGCACGATGCTTTTCTGTGGTCGAAAAACTGGCTTCTCACTGTAAGTGGTCTGGAAGGTGACACCGACACAGGCTGCAAAATGATCTGATTTCGTGATGGAAGGATCAATGATTTCACTGACCCAAGCACGGCAGGAAGAAAGACTCCAGCTACGTGGCAGGCCGACAAAATCAATGCGTCTCTGCGATCCTGAGCTATGTGTCCATGTTACACCTGGGCCAGTTTGATACTCTTGGAAGGTGGAAGGCAGCCAGAGATCGTGGGCACAGATGAAGGTCTCAAACGGTTCCGATTTCTGCTCCTGAGGGCCAGCTTGGAAATCGCTGATATGTGCCGAGATGTCATGTCCTACACTGGCATTGGCATCCGCAAGGAGTACTAGCGGCCACCCTGCATATTTCGATGGAACATGGGCTGACAGTGCCTGCCACCATTCTTGGATTTCCGAAAGACTTCTGCCTGTGTGTGGCGCGTGACCAGCTACAACAATGCACTTGAGTATAGCCGTCGAAACACGAACAATCAAAACTCTGGGATCACTATAGATGAGCGAGAAGTCGGCATCACGGAAAAAATGAGGTGTTTGAGGTGTGGCAGTCCCTGCAGAGGCAACCGCGTAAGGGAGCTTCTTTGCAAATCCAACAACTATCCCAAAATGTCCCTGTGCATTTGCGGGATGTCGGAAAAGGATGTAATCTTCCGAATAAAGTTGATGCAACTTACGGAGGCGTGTCTCTTGCAGGGCAAAAATGTTGATTTTTTCCTGGGCAGCTTGTTGGAGGATCATCTGCTGTCTGGCAGGGCCATTGATACCACATTCACGTTCATCACGCTGTCCACACAATGAGAGGACATTGCATGTTGCCAGTCGCAGCTGAACTTGCACTGCGTGTTGAGTGGTGTCAGGTGCAACAATGGTCCTGTTCAAAGGAAATTCATCCCCAGTGGGATGGCTATTTGGCGTGGGAAAGCATAAACAGTGGCCCTCCCACCGATCACTGAGAGATGTGTCAAACAAGATCCAAAACCAGTCAGACGCATCACGGAAGCTGGCTGTGCTAAGCGTGCGAAGCCATGCAGCTTCCGGGGTAGGATCAAGCTCATGTGCAGCATTGGCTAATGAGTCGACAAGCTCATTACCTGCGTGGCCTGAATGTCCTCGAACATGCCAGTGTGAGATCTCGGCTCCAAATCGGGTTTCAATCAGGCGGTGGATATTACGCAGGACATGCCCCAAGATGGGATGCTTGAAACAATTCCACAAACCACTAGTCTGATGCCCAACTGTCAGAGAATCAAAACAGAAATGGATGGGCGGAATCTCAACTCCAATAGACTCATGTATCTTCAGAATGTCATAAGCAAGCTTGAGTCCAATAGCAGAGGCAAAATGCTCCGAGGAGTAAGAGTCCTGTACAAAGGGAAGTTTAGTGGAAATGGCACCTGCAAAAACCCACTGCCCTTTGATGTGCAAAAAGGCCGCTGCTGCTGCAGAAGCAGAGCCTTGTTCATGATTTGGGCGATAAGATCCATCATAGTAAATCCAGACGCTATCACAAGGCGTGAGGAAGTCCCACCAAGTTTGAACCCATGCATATGCAGGATGCCATGGCCCAATACAGGACACCGCAAAGTCAGCCAGGAAGAAGTGTGAGTCGAAGACTTCAAATCTCTGGATAGGTTCATGAAAGTCTACTTTCTGACCTGTCTTGTCAGGACCAGAAGGACTTGGGTCAGAGGGCCGCTGGACATGAGCCACCGAACCAGCTGTTAGGCGCTCCTCAAAACCTGCAGTGGTGATCGCAGCGGAAAGCTGAAGGAAGCTCGATGCTGCCGTTTCATCATGAGGAAGATCTTCATCGGACTTATCCTCCCAAAGGTCAGAAGGCAAATGCCGATTGACAATGAGCAAAAAGGAATTACCTCTCTGGTTTGGGAAGCGTTGTAAAGGCAGCAACTCTGTCCCACCATGCCAGCAAGTGCAAACTGCTGTGGGCAAATGTGGGGGGCAGAAAAAGGTCTTGCCAGTACACATGATAATGTCTTCCCGGCGCACAGCTCGAGGAAGAATCATGGCTGCCGTATAGGGTTTCCCTCTGAGAACTCCATTATCATAGGTGGTGACAAGGTTGGGACAATCAAAATCTCGGACTTGCTGGTAGAGAATGATGTGGATCTCGATGGGAGTGGCAGCAGTTGGTGGAGTAGGAGCAACAATGGTATAGTCCACAGGTTGATCAGGGTTGATCATATCGGCCCATCGTCGCTGCAGCGCCGGCTCCCATTCCCAGTAATCCTCACCGAGGATGACATCTCGCTGCTCATCATTGTGGCGAATATACCCCCCTTCAACGTACCAGGTCTCTACAATGAGAAGCTGTTCCAACCCGGCTGGGCCATCAATGGCTCGATCAAGCCAGAGGTCGTGCAACTCTTGGATGGATCTGGGTTGGGCATGAAGTGGCGGGTGCGCTGGTGGCAGCGGTTCCACATGCTCAGTCTCAACCGGCAAGGGTTGTGGTTCAACCACATGGTCATCACCCAGTCTATCACTTGGGAGATCCAGCAGGAATTCAAGTCCTGCCCCTGCAGGAACATTGATGGCTGTGGTGAGTTGCCAAACTACTTCTCGAAAACGGAGAAGGCATCTGCGGCTAAGACAAAGACGTGCAAGCTGTAGCAGGTCTCTGGTAGGAAGAAATCTAACAGGCGTCTCTAACAGTGCAGCTGCAAAGTTGAGAGCAGTGCGTCGCCTGCCTTCAAATCTGATTGAAATATGAACAGGTGTGAGCGCAGGTGGCACATTCTGAGTGAGAAGCAGATGTCCAATGCGAGCACGTGCTGGTACTTCAAGAGGAACAGGTGTGACCCAGTGAAAGCGCACGGGCTGTGTTCGATCAATCAAGTCAGACCAAAGATCTCGAAGAGCAGCTTCCAATTCTGCCGCAAATCTGTCAAGCCTCAGGACTCTGGAATGTTCCGTGACATAGGCTTGAGTGCCGTGAAGAAACCAAGTATCAACATAGCCAATAGGGCCTTCCTCTTCCAGGGCAGTGGCCGCATCAGTCTGAAACTGCTCAAAAAGATCATTGAGCCCTGTAGGCAGACGTCTAGGGTCAAAAGCAGTCGCTGGATGATGCGTGGGATCGACCTCTCTTTCAAAAACTGGTGGCTCACTGCTGTCTCCATCAATCTTACATTGTAGCTTGGGCAAGTCTTGCAAGAATGCCGGAATGTGAGTGAAATGCCTGAAATCAGACAAAGCTGCATCAATCTCCAAAGAGGGTGTCAATGACAACTGCAGCAAGGAGGGGTCATCCTCATCTTCAGTGATGTTGCAAGGCGAACCCTCAATGACAATGTTGTCTCCATCACCAATGCGAGGTGCTCCCTCAGCAGGAAAGAGGAGTCGTCCCCTTCTGACAGTGATGTCATGTCCAACTGAGATGGCCGGCGGTAAGGCAATCCCAATGGCAGAGGCATGTGAAAGTTGATCTCTCGTGTAAACTGCCAAGTGCTGATACTGATCTCCACACAAATCAGGCAGAGCAGCAGAAATCAAAATGGCAGCTGAATTGGGATTAGGCAATTGCACTACAATCAAGTGTCCAATCACATTGTTATCAGAAGCAGGCGGCTGTGGATCAACAAAATGCAGGGCAAATGGATAACGTCGATCAGTGTGGTCGAGCCAAGCATCACAAATGGAACGCTCCCAAGCATTACGTGTTGACCGCAGTCGCACTCTGCGGGGGTGAAGGCACTGCAAAGCAAACTGGCCATTAAGGTACCAAGTGTCAATATAGGCAATTGGTCCTTCTGACGCTCTTTCCGTCAGGCTGGCTAGGTCAAAGGCGTCACTGAGGCGGTGATACCAGTCTGGTCTCCAGGGCTCAGCAGTCTCTGCAGGTGCATCAGGCGGAACGGTGTCTCCATCAGAGTCAAGTGTCCAATCAACAAAGCTGGAAGCATCTTGGAGTGCTGCATGCAAAGTTGAACGCAAGCTAGTGTCATCAATGGTTTGCAAGGCTGTCACATCAATCTCAATTGGCCTGTTAATGAAAAGACGCAAAGCCGAACCATGTCTCACAGCCATGGGTTGTTGATCAGTGACCTCATAATTGCCATATCTGAGCGTGCAGATATTTTGCAAGGCCTCTGGTGGACAGTGGTCTTGAAATTCCGCAATGGAAATGGCAGTTTGTAGGCTGACTCGATCGGTGACAACAACCGCATGTGAATGGGGATGGCCGTTGTCGTAAGCTGCATCATAAATGGAAAGCACAATGGACCTCTGGAATTCATGAGGGTTCTGTACCAAAATGACTTGCGCAAGAGCACTAGCGTCAGAGTCCTCTGGAAGAGGATGAACCACAAAGAAAAGAACCTCATGATGGGTATCAATGTAGTCAATCCATTCCCATTTCAACTGCTGTTCCCATGTGCTGTGGTCAGGACCCAGACGAACAATTCTAGTGAAGTGACATCTTTGGTAACGGTAATGATCTGTATACCAACTTTCAATCTTCAGAGAAGGTTCATCGTCAAAAGGGGTGGAGGCCACCGCAATTTGCCAAATCTCATGCAGCTGTTGAACAAACAGGGACTGTGAAGCAACATCTTCTAACTGCTCCTCATTCACAGGTGTTTCAAGCATCTGACTGCGAATCTGAATGGCTTGCAAAAACTCTTCCGTGAAGCTACATTGCAACTTTCCATCAGGCTTACTAATTGTTGCAGTAGAGATAGAATCACCTTGAAGAAAGGCAGGAATTGTTCGGAACCCAGCTTGCAAAAGGCTGTTGTGATCAGCAATATGCTCATCATCCTGCTCATTGGTCACAACTGTGTGGAAGCTGTCATCGTCGCCTCCATGTGTTTGAAAATGATGCACAAGTTGCGCTCGAGTGAGGCCCGCTTGACACGCTCGTATGGCAAAATGTGTTGGGATGTCAGGCTGCTGAAAAGGAGGTACTGCAATGCGGATATAGTCTCCATGATGCAGGTCAACAAGCCCATGATGCTGAAATGGCAGAAGTGAACCTCTCCTCCAAACAAGACACCGATCATGCTGGAGCGTGCAGTAAGGAGTGACCCCTGCAATTTTCAGCAAATGACTTCTGTGAGTGGGCGTAGTGATGAAAATGGTATACCGATCAATCTCAATGAGTGAGTTAGGATCAGGCCCATGCAACTCCACATCAATGAGCACTGCTCGTCTGTTGTCGCCAAAGGGAATGTCATCATGACGAATAAGAAGTAGAGGGCTGACATGAACAGCACTCAAATCTTGCGGCGCTGGATTGATGTCAAAAATGTTGGCGACTTCGTGGTGTGTGTATCCCAGAAGGCGGCGTGCTTCAGCAAAGAAGGCTTCCGGTGGATGGACCTGTGTTCGACCTCGTGCGTGATTGGCACGCATGTCATAAATCTGCACTGACCGCCACATGCGCTCTCCTCCATAGGAGGCCGGCGAGGTGGGTGTGTGCGTTTCCACATCAGAGTCCAAATTTTCATCAGCTGAGCTTCCAGAGACATCATGTCTTCTAGGGGCTCGCGCCATCAAAGTCACAATGTCAAGAACATCCTCATCATTGCAAACTTCTCGGATTGGTTCAGTTGTCAGAAATCCGGTTCCAGAAATGCAGTCAACCTGATCATGGAAACGAACCTGTGTGTTGGGTTTGTTTGACCGTGCAATAGATCTAACTCGCTTGGATGGCCTTGGCCTAGGCCATGACCAAACAGAGGACCAAGGCAGGGTCTGTGACGGCTCAGGTGAAGAAGCTAAAATCACCTCCCCTTGCAGCAACAATGCACGACCAAGGGCTGCAAACGTGTCCTGAAAGGGCAGAGCAGGATCCCAAATGGCGCTATGACAAGCTGTCAGCGGGCAGGTGAAGGAGCCTCCCAATGCTTCTTCGGTCATCAGGGGGCTGGCAATTGTCGGCCCACGAAACTCATTCTTTCCAAGAAGACATGAAGGATCGCTGCCTACATTCACGATGCAGAAAAGGTAGCTCCAGGCGGTCCAGAAAATGGCTCTAGAGAGCGCTGGCGCTTTGCCGGCTGTCCAGGTGGCACAGCCTCCTCTGAGTCGGAGATTTCCATCGTCTCCTCCTTGGCGACGACTTTGGCGCAGGATTGCAGGATCGTCTGCACCTGCTGCACCAATGCCTGGGCTTCGGCGTCTACCGTTTTCTGATCTTCTGCATCTGCATCTACTTCGTCTATCTCTTCGCTTCCAGCGGCTTTTTTGTTCAGGACCTCCAGTGTCTGTCTCGCAGTGTTGAGCTCCTGCGTCGCCTTCTTGATGAGGTTGTTGTAGTTGGCTTGCTGCTCCGTGTACAACTTCAACTGTTGCTCCCAGCTCTGCACCGATTCTTGAAGGTGCTTGATCCACCTTTCTCGATGCTTGCTTTGAGCTTCTCGCAATGCTTGAAGTTCTTTCCCAGCAATCCCCACTTCTTTGGAGGTTTTTTGCAAGCCGGTTTGCAACTGCTTCACCTTCTTCTTCTCTGCTTTGGCTACCGCCGATTGTATTCTGGATGGTGCCTTGGATATGTCCGGGTATTGCTCCTTCACAGCCAGAATGAGCTCGACATCGTCTGTGTCTGTAGCGCCTAACTGGGTTGTGGGGGCAACCGGAGCCTGAGAAGTGAAGGGACTTGGGAAGGCATATGTGGTCTCGGAAGTCGGCCATGGGGAGGTTTGCGCAAAGGGAGAGGCTTGCTCTGACTGCCCCTTGCCCTTGCCCTTCTTTTTTCCCTTGGCTCGCATCCTGGCACTTGCACTTCTGGTCCATTGTTGGTTCTGTCCTCTTTGCGATGTCCGACCACGATCTGTTTGTCCCTGCGATTGATTCCAATCCCACTCTGAATCCCCAGCATAGGCGCGTGGCGACTTTGGCTGGTTCGAATGGGGAATTCCTGCAGTCCAGTGCCCTCGACAATCGGGACAATAAGAGTGCTTTTTCCCACACAATCTCCCGCAAGGACAGGTCCAAGCATAGCTTTCCTGTGCTGCCATGAGGATTTTTTGGATCAGGACCGGGTCTCTCAAATGATGCGCCCGTAGCGTAGTGGCCAGCTTCAACAATTGGCTGCGGCTGAGGCGCACAGCACCAATGCAATGCAGGTGCCAGCGCTCTCTGGCAAGCGCCCTCTGCCGACGCTGTAGCCTCCTCTGGGAGCTTGTCAACGAGGAAGTCGTGGTTGAAATGCAAGACAATAATGAAAATGTGGAGCAAAAAATACATTCACAAATTCCGAAATGTCAAATATCACCCAGGTGTAAAAGACCCACCTGCAGAAGTCAGAGAAATGTAGAATAACGGATCACAAAGAGGAGCAAGAGGGGGAAGTCAACCCAACTCGCAGGCTCAGTTGCAGTCCAATAAAACAAATGTAAATGTCGATCCAAATAGGCGCAAAGTCGTTGGCCAATCAAATGGCAGCAAAGGCAATGCAAAATAAGGATTCCAAACAATTGAGAAAACCCAGATAAGTGGCCGAAGCAGCAAATACCCGGAAAAATTGAAATACCAAAAGCGTAGGCCTATTCAAAGGCAGCTACCTGATGTGACGGGGTTTTGCCCAAAGGTGGTGAACCCCAAACCACCAATCCGAAAGGCCAAACCGGGAGGACGAAGAAGACCGGATAGCCCGCGGGAAAACCCGCTAAGGGTCGGGCACAAACACGCAAAGGGCGAGTTTGAGCCGAACGCCTTCGACCGGGTCAAAACCAAAAAAAAAACTCACCAACTTTGAGAGTAGCTGTACCCAGTGAGGGTGGCTCTTGCTTCCGCATACAACGAAGATTCACTAAGTTGGTGTGGTTAGTTTTCATTTCTGGCCCCCGCTCAAAAAAAAAACTCAAAGGATTAAACATGATTAAACTACCTATCTAAGGTTGGGGGTGAGATTCACTAAGTAACTAGGCTCAAGGGAGGCGTACCCATCTACCCACTTTGGATCATCTCTTTAGCTATTGGGGACTAACCAGAACTCTGCAAGAAAGGTTACAACTTCGGGCCATCTGCACTATGCATCAAACGGAAACAAGAAATCCCCGATGTGCAGACGTACAATAGATAGATGCTCTTCCATGCTCTTCCTAAATTGGGGGTTTTCACAAGACTTCCATCTATTCATTTTTTTCCATGGTGGATTCCAAGGTAGCCGGGCAATTCCTGTCCTTTGCGACGATGATGTCGATGCCAAAAGCCTGCAGCGACGTCACCATGATTTTAGGATGTCAAAGGACGTGACTGGAAACACCGACATTTCTCTGGGCTTCAGATTCGTGCCCGCTTTATTGGGACTGAACACCAACCAACATCTTGATATCTTGTTTTTTTTGTTAGTGGGGTAGGATTTGGGGGGATTTGGGGGTTCCCAGGGTTCAACCACAGCTTTCGACCACATTTCATACAAATTCTTCAGACTCAAAACCACCAAAACCTCCCAGGTTTCCACCAGCTTTCCGGCCTCCGCTAAGTGAAGAAGATCAATGGCAGGTTGGTCCCCCAGAAAGGGGGGCAACAGGAGCACACGCCCTAAGACCTGCGCGGGTGCCGCTGGATGTCAGCATGTGCCCTTGGCAATACCCTTCCGAACATATATATATATACACATATTATATGATATAATATAATATAGTAAAATATAATATAATGTACATGTATATGATTTAAAAATATAAATAAGATATGATATAATATATATATATCTCTCTCTCTCTCTCTCTCCTACCTCTTTTCTCCATCACCCTGACCCACCAACCGCCCTTTGTGCGGCGGCCTTTGCGAGGATCACGGAATCATGCAGGGATTGTAGGATATTCCTGCGGCTAAGTAGTGCTACGTAGTGTCGTAGTGCTAAGTTGATGCTATAACTGAGAAAAATGGAAATAATTTATGTAAAAAATCCATTGTTGAGGTTAAAATAGGATGAGGATAATCCAATAAAATCGAATTATTTTTTGGGTACCCTCTGTTGATTTAATATATAATACAACTATATACAAGTATGGTAAATGGTCCATGATATGATGCATGATGAGTTACCTATTGAAAATAGGTGATTTTCCATAGCTACTGTAAATACCCAAAGGGCAACTATGATTTATTAGAGAAACATCGAACGACTTCATGGCAACTTCATTGGGTTTATAAACAAACATACCTTGCGGGCACCAGCCACCGCCAAAGTGGGATGGCTGAAGGCATCTATATATAGTGCTGAATGTGTTTTGCAAAGAATCCCGCCCCCAAAAAAGAAACACTGTGTTTCGGGGAACCTCCCAATATCAAATATACAATTACCACAAAAATCACTATTGTCCTATCAGAGTTGATTTCATATACTAATCAATGCCATAAAAGACCATGTGGAAATATGTAGACATGCCATATCAAATAATGTGCTAAGAATAAACCATCTCCAATAAAGATGTTTCTTATTGGGTTTTGTGGAATAGCTATGAAGGATTTTGGATAGTAAACAAAAAGTGTAAGAATAGTACGAAGACTCCGTCAAATACTCTAAGTACCCTTCAGCAATTTGTGCCACTGTGCACTGGAAGCCATCACCTTTTAACCTTAGGCAATCATCGAAGCACAGATTTTAAAAGGGCCATGTATACCCCTTAAACCACGGTCCCATTGGATATTCCGACTGGGCTGGCAAACCCCAAGGCTGCTGGAAGATCCACCATCATCAGCAACGGAGCCACTGGATGACCTTGGCAGATGGAGATTTCCATGGTGAACTATCGTCGTTTATTAACTTAATAAAACGTGGCCCATATGGTCATTTCTATACTATAATCTATAATCCCATATGATAAAGATCTCTATATTTTAACTGGGTAAATCTGAACAATATATATATATTTATAATTCAACTGGGTGACATTTCCAACATAACTGCGGCACCTTGATTGGGATGATTTGCTTGTCAGCGCTAAGAAATCCCCAATGGGGGGTTCTTAAGTCATGGGAGATCCCCAAGTCACCATAGGTTTCAATGCTAAAATAAAAACAAAAATGATCAAAAATGGTTGTTTATGACTTGGATGAGAACTGAAGGGTACCCCCATGACTTAGGAAACCATTGCCATGTTTGATTCCCGGAGGGTACTCAACCGCTGCAGAGAGGGGATGTGGGCCTCGCTTATTTGGCGATAACCGGGATGCACCAAGTACATCCAAGTACGGGATGGGCAGACATCTCCATTCTGGTGACAGGGTGGTTGAATCATACGTCTTGGTACCAGCTGCTGCCAGCGGACCCTATGGATGATGGAGGGCCGTGAGGGAAAGGCATCCCAGTTGGCAAGCTGTGAAAACAACCACGGTCCACCATGCTTGTGAAGCTTCTGATCTAAAGGGATCCAGTCGCGAGTTGCCACATGGTAAATCATGGTAACCGGTCAAAAAAGATGCCACTCTCAGTGGTTTATCATTTCGCATCACCAATCATACCCCTCCAAAGGATGGTTTTTGACTGGGCAGTGCTAATCGTCCCATTGATGGAGCTCGAAAAAAAATGAACTAATTACCCAAGCAACTTATATGGCATCAATAGGGATCTTGATCACCAAGTGGCAAATCAGTATTCCATTTTTTTAGTTATAAACTATTGTAAATCTAGGTAGTCTACATATATAATTATATAAATTAGATACATATAATTACCCCATGATATCCCCTATGATCTCAAAAAATATCCCCTATGATCTTCCCATATTTCTTGGCTCATTTCCACGGCGAGCCACGGCAATCTTTGGCCGCACGCTCACAGCATTCGCCTCAACGCTCGCAGCTCAGGGGAGATTTAAACGGTCAACTCCCAGGGGGTATTCAACATCAGTCAATATTAATCATCATCCCATAGATCAATATCAATGATTGGTAAATATCAACTATAGCTAGTGTATAATTCGTTTTTGTTTTTAAATCATTGATATTGGCATATGGGAGATTTATGGGTGATTTTCATGGATTTTCATGACATGAACATTGGGATATGATGTGGGTAAACCTGCCATAAACCTGCCCTTTGGGGATGGTTCATACAATCCACCTGTGGTGATTTTGGGGATAGTTGGGGGATGTTTTATTCTTCGGCAAATGCCACTTTTGAACCGTTGGAGACCTGGAAATGATGCGGCTTTTGCATCATCTATAACATCCATCCAGAAAAACAGTTTGATCTTCTTGGGGTTACTAGCAGCCCCTAAAAGACCACGAAAATAATGACAATTTGATGATATTCTGCAAGGGAACATATATCCAAAAATGGCGACAATGGCACGCATGCAATTCATGTCCAAATTCCTTCAGGTGCATTGCTGCATGGTTTGTTCAGGAAACCACTGGTTAGTACCCAAAAAATGTTACGTTCATCGAGTGTTCCATGTTTTTTTCCACCAAGCCTTGGAAAGCCTTGCGCAAGTGGCTGGTAACCACCCTTGGGGATGATCGTCATTATTCGCGGAGGGTCTACCCAAAGAGTGTGTATATAGCCATTCTTTTTGAAATCACCGATTTTTTCTACATCGATAATCATCAGCATATATCCTATATCAATATATACATACATATATATATATAAATATATCAGCATATCACTTGTAATTGCATCCCACTGTTGTCATCGCAAGCAGGTTCTATATCTGACCTGGTTGCTTCACAACAAGGAGTTGTTCAAAATGCCCAGAGCGCTTCGACCCAAACCCAGTTGATTGGATCGAGAGGCGGCTAGAACCATCACATAAACCACCAGAAATACAGATTGGTAATCTAAGATAGTTTTATGGAAAATGGTTATTTATAGATGATTTACCTATTATATATGATTTTCATATCGGTTTCCGCGGTTGCAGCCTCGCTGACAACAGAGTTGAGTGCCCTGGTAACACGACAGTACCTGTGCCAAGATCCGCACGGACAGCCGCTTAAAAATGCTGGAACTGGGAATTAAACGTGGGGAACATATCCCAAATTATCACCGGAATCATGTTGCATATCCACAACTGGGGCCATCAGCTCATATACCAATATATATATATATGTGTATGTATGTATATGAATGTTTAAAATCTGACCGTAGAACTCGGCTTTATAACTTACGAACAAAACAGACTTACAGACAAACTGGTTGATAACCCCCATGTATACAGCATTTGTACATATATATATAATTATAATTATAGATATAGCTGGTTTGTGCTGGCGAAAACACCCAATGATACGCGGGTGAACTGAAAGCACGGTCATTCAACACATGCGATTGCTGAGGCTGTACGCATCCAAGCATGAAAGGCACATGAAAAAATCCAGGCAAATGCGTGGTTCCTGGGCACTAACTCATGAGTTAAAACATGGGGATTCAACCACCCTGGGTTATTGACAACCCAAGAAATTTGGGTTTACCATGGGTTTCTATTGACCTTCAACAACCACTCTTCTAATAAGGGTTTAAGTTCTCGATCTATTCTTAGGGGAGTTGCCTTTGGGGGGTTGGCTGAGATGAGCAAGGTGTGGATCCCAACTTCATAGGAAATGGCAAGGATGGTTCGTAGTTCGTAGCAGCAGAACTTTTCATCAATATATTTGATGTTGATGCATTACATTGTTTGTATACATTTTCGCACGCTCGTTTTTTTGACACATTTATGCATGAATATTATGCCGTTGTACACAGCTTATATGTAGTGCATCATGTTTTTTCTAGCGGGGGGAACACCGCGCTAGGGTTTTTGAGTTTTTTGTTCTTCATAACATTCATGCGTTTTGCTGCATATGAGGTGGGGTGGGAGGGAGTAACACTCACATGCAGATGCACTTGCACACATAGTTGGCACAAATCATGATGCTCACGCCTCTGGTTCGCAGATGGGCCAGCAGTCTACATCATGTAAAAAATACACATGCATGCAGGACATGTGACACTACCTGATGTCACGTTACATCATGTCATGCTACATGTATTCATGCTACTTGATGTGACACTACTCTAGAGAATGTTACATACCCAGGAAACGTCAGTCACAGGACATATTACGCTGCATGATACCACGCTACATGAGGTCACATACACATACAGGACACGCACACACTAGAAAAGAACTGGATCATTGGAGTGATCCATCGGGAACTGAATCCCAAAACGTGCAATTAAACAAGATTATTGATTAATATTGATTTAGGTAGATCTCCAGAAATTCACGTGCTTTCCAGGTCGTCGGGATGATCAGTCCCGATATCACAATCTCAAACCACCCTCTTCGTTGGGCAGTGGATGGAATGAGATTCACTGCCCGCCTGCATCAACAAGCAGTACGAAAAGATAGAGGTTTTACATCTGTTCAGAAATTCCACACACACACACACACCCGGCCGGAACCGGGCCAACCCTGAAAGGCAAGAGGAAGTAGAAAGCGGACACCAACGACGGGCCAACGGACAAAACAGCGCGGGGGGGAGGGGAACAAACGAACCTCCAAAACCAACCTACACGGAGAACGTACCAAACCAGCACAGAGCACACACCTAAACCCCACGACCCATTACAGAGGGGCACGGAGGATAATTAGGGACCAAATAGGGAACTAGTTGATGAAGAGAAGTGAAACAACAAAAAAAGTAAAAGGGATTCAGTTCCTAGAAATAAGGTCGTGCGTTACTCCCTCGAAGGGACGGTGACCGCCGTCACACCCACAAATGGGCACGTGAATTAGGTGCACGAAATGTTCAGCCTCACCAGAGAACCATGAAGAGAAAGTGGACCACACCTGAAAGCATGTAGCCTCAAGCCGTCCACGATAAAACCAGTTTCAGGCTGTTCCGTACAGCTTCACTTGAGCAGGGACGGCAGGGGCAGCAGGATCTCAAGAAAATGGTGCAGAACCGAATGGCCGACTGTTTCACTTCAGGTAGACAAATTACAGTACTAAATTAAAACTGTAAATTCAGAGTTCTGTTTGTCCACATTCTCCCAAAAGGGTTCCCTCAAATGGGTCCACGGCAACATGCCGGAGCCACCATGGAATTCACACTAATTAAAAAAGAACTGGATCATTGGAGTGATCCGTCGGGAACTGAATCCAAAAACGTGCAATTAAACAAGATTATTGATGTAAGGTAGATCTCCAGAAATTGGCGTGCTTTGCAGGTACGTCGGGATGATCAGTCCCGATATCACAATCTCAAACCACCGTCTTTGTTGGGCAGTGGATGGAATGAGATTCACTGCCCCCCTGCATCAACAAGCAGTACGAAAAGATAGAGGTTTTACATCTGTTCAGAAATTCCACACACACACACCCGGCCGGAACCGGGCCAACCCTGAAAGGCAAGAGGAAGTAGAAAGCGGACACCAACGACGGGCCAACGGACAAAACAGCGCGGGGGGGAGGGGAACAAACGAACCTCCAAAACCAACCTACACGGAGAACGTACCAAACCAGCACAGAGCACACACCTAAACCCCACGACCCATTACAGAGGGGCACGGGGGATAATTAGGGACCAAATAGGGAACTAGTTGATGAAGAGAAGTGAAACAACAAAAAAAGTAAAAGGGATTCAGCTCCTAGAAATAAGGTCGTGCGTTACTCCCTCGAAGGGACGGTGACCGCCGTCACACCCACAAATGGGCACGTGAATTAGGTGCACGAAATGTTCAGCCTCACCAGAGAACCATGAAGAGAAA